CGTGCGGGTGGGGGCTGGGGGAGGGGGAGCAGACAGAGGCTCTGGAGAGGAAACTACACGTACCACTCCTTCTTGGAAATGAAAGACCCGTCGTTCTGAGAAACCATGTTCTCGGCCAAGTCCAGCTGCTCAGGGTCATACTGGTAGCCCAGAGTCCGGTCCCCATAACTGTCCTGACAGGCTTCTGCCTCATCCACCGTGAAGTAGGGCCGCTTGGTGTCCTCATCGTATTTGGGGTGGGGGCCGCCCACCTTGCACTCGCCCCCTCCACCACCCTCTTCCTCCTCCTCTTCCTCGTAGCTGCTCCCTCCCAGTGGGCCAGCCTTCTTCTCGTCATCTGAGTCATCAGGGTACTGTAGGTTCTGGGCCATGGGCGGGTGGTGCTGGGGGATGCCCGCCTTGCTGTAGCCATTGCCGTACACGTGCTTCTTGGTGCTGTAGTCCCCCTTGAAGGTGTGCCGGCGCCGGCGCAGGGCCACCACGATCCCGCCAACCACAATCAGCACCAGCAGGATACTCCCTGCCACGCCCCCAATGATGGCTGTGGGCACTGGCCCGGCTCGCCGCCCATGTTCTGGAGGAGACGGGGTGTAGGGGAATTCTGGGTGAGGAAAAGAGATGGAGGGGACAGTGTCAGTGTCTGCTCAGTGGGAGGGAGGGAGGGAGGGAGGCGGGGCAGGAAGGAGGCCCAAGGCCCAAGAACAGCTGCAGTTCCAGAGGCCTCTTGGCACCCCACCCCTCCAGGAGCCCAATGTGCAGCAGTGTTTGTAGCTAGAACGAGCGACAGAAGAGAGGCAGAGACAGTGGTGGAGCGCACAGCCTCCATGCTGGTTTTTTCCTTGGATGTGGTGCCAGCCCAGCTCATCCCCATTAGTAGGCAGAGAGGTATAGGTGCCAGCCCACCCTTGACCGAGTGTCTACTAGATGCAGTCCCTGTCGCAACACCCTGTGAAGTAGGTATACTACTCATTTCCATTTAACACACAAGGAGACGAGGCTTAGAGAGGTTAAATAACTTGCCCAAGCCATCAGCTAACGATGGGATTTTTGTTCTGTTGCAAGTACAGCCTGTGCACACGTCACCACTACCCCTCTGCCTGACACCTGCTGGTCACTGGGTGCCTACCTGACTTCATCTGCTCCTAGAGTAAAGAGAAGAGGATGGGTTCCCAGGTGCTAGCTCCGTAGATGTCCCGTGAGTGCCAGAAACCAGGGTTGTGGTTCTTGGCTGCAGTGGTTCACGCCAGCTTGGGCCAGCATGGCTGTACAGAAAAGGGGCTTGAGAGCGCAGGAGTATGTAGTAAAGAAGATGATGATACACAGAGGGCACATATGCGGGCACACGCCCCTTGTTGTCGTGGTGAGGCCATATGCCTATGCTGATGTGATGAATGTGTGTACAAATATGTTCACACTGAGGACAAAGTGGAAACAAGAAGGCAGGAAAGAAGAAGGAAGCAGGCAGAAGGGGCGCGAAGGCTGGGTGGGTGACTTTCTTGGCTGGTGGGGCCAGGCCAGACTCTGGCTCTGCTCTGGGCAATGCTGCACCTCCCCTTTCTTGACGGGGCCCTGCCAGAGGCCAAGGCAGGCCAAGGAGAGGCTGAGGGAAGCGGTTCCCAGCACCACCACAGGGTGGCACCGGAGACCACAGCTGGCTTTGGTCAGCCACCTCTCCTCTCTTCAGGCCAAGGTAGAGGGTTGATCTGGGCATATGCCTAGCCTCTGGGAATTGATTTCTGCCAGCTCACTCTCTGATTCAGCTTCACTCATTCTATGGGAATCCTGCTCTTCCTGTGAGACATTCCCTTCTTCCAGAGCCTGAACTGCTTGCTGGGAAGGCTAATGAAAAACACTGGGGCCAAAGAAGCGGATGCGATGTGTTCCGTGGGCTGCACTGGGCCCATCCAGATGTTCCTGGCCTCTCCACATGCCGGAGTTGGCAGAGAGTAGCTCGACCACTGAAGACTCAGCTCCCCACTTGTCCCCACTGTGTCCTCAGTGCAGGTCCTCTAGTGGCTTCCCAACAAATACATATTGAATATTTGTCCTCACTGCCAACTTCCAGGATAATCTCGGAGCCTCAAGGTTCTGATTCACCAGGTCCCATCTGTTTCCTGCCTTTAAAAGGGCTGCACACCTGCTCCCCATGAGGTGGGAGCTGCCTCCACAAGAGGGACCCAAGAGGCAGCTGGCCTCTTCTGTTCTCACCCCATACTGGAGTGTTCCCTCCTCTCTTCACCTGCTCCACCCATGCATCTATCCATCCATCCACCCACCCAATCAGCAAACGGGTATCGAGCTTCCACTTTGCTAGTCACAGGACACGAGAAGCTCACAGTCTAGTTGAGGCACCAAATGACACTCTTAGAGACAAAGACAAAGCAGCACACAGGCATCCAGGGCATTGGCAGAGAAGTGCTTCAGGAGGGCAGGGGAAGGAGAGCACTGTGGCCTGGAGTTAGGAAAGGCTTCCCTTGCCTTCCAGCGCATGGATTCCTTGATCCTTGGCTTTCTTCTCTGGGTGTTCCATCTCTGGCTGCATCGCTGGGCCTTCGCTCTGCTCCTTGGAACTTCAGCCCTTACTCTCTGCTTTCTTTCCTAGTGACAGACCTGGGCTCAGTGTCATGAGTTACCTTTATTCTGCTGGCTCTCCAAACCACGTCGGGTATCTAGCTCTCAGCAACTATGGGATTTTATCTCCAAAGGCCTCTCTGACAACATTTCCCAAACTGTGGCTCATGGAACCTCAAGCCATTGGCTCAGAGGGTCAGCAAAAACACTGGGGTTAAACACTTTGGAAAACGTTGGTTTAGACAAAGCATCAGAACCCTTCATTTTACATACACACTGTGAACTCTAAGAGGAATAGGATGCAGTATTTCCCAACCTCCTGGAGCATGAACCCCATCCTTCTTGACTCAAGGGCCATTCATAGGACTAGCATTTGTGTACACGCTTTGAAAACTCCTCTTTAGCACATCCTCATGTGGAACGCTCTCCTCCATCTCAAACCCATCTGTCCTAACCTGGTTCACCATCTTCCCTCCAAACCTTCTCCATTCAACACCACAACTCCCATTACCATTTGTCTACTCTTCTAGCTTAGAACCTCATTTATCTTTGACTCTTCCTTCTTCATCTCTTCGATCAAAATCTGCCATCAAATCTTGTTGACGCTTCTGATTCGGTATCTTATCGCTTTATGCCAGGCTTTACTGTTGTAGTCGATTTCTGAATCTCTCAGCTTCATTTGGTCTCTGCTCTCCTTTAGCTACTCCATCCACAGTAATCAGGTTTAATTTTTACTCCCTTTCTCAAGACTAGCAATGACTTCCAAACTGCCTGTTACACATGCCGGTCTGGTCTTCAAAGCTTCCATCATGCAACTTGATCCTGGGTTTGGCTAATGCACTGTCCTTGCTGTCCAAGTTGATTCTTTACTGCAAACCTTTGCTCATGCTGTTCATCCTGCCAGGAATACCCTTCCTTATCCCTTTCTGCCTATTTTACTTCTTTGTCAGTCCCTTCTTTGTGTCCAGCACACACTTAACTTTCTCTTTAGAATTTTTACGTACCAATGGTCTACACCTCTCATTCTGGTATAAACAATAGCTAATTCTATTCCATTAATCATATGCTGACATAGTACAGTAGAGCCTATGATAAAACATCCTGCAATAAATGCAAATTAGCCATGATTGGCCCCAGTCCTTCTGCCAGTGTTCAAATGCCTAAAGTTCTTCTTGTCTGCAGGAACGATGAGAGGTTTTAGGGAATGGGGGCCTCCAGACAACTGGGATTGACTCGATTTAGTGTGCTACAATTGTATACAATGTAAGTTCCACTACACTTACTTTCTTGCTTTTGGTGATGACAGAGGCCCAATGAAAAATAAAGCTCTCCTACATTTTATTCGACGAGATTGAATTTCTTGGACTCCACTTATCACAGTATGGTAGAGTTTACAGTATTACATGTTTCACGAGAGTGGCTGGTATCCCAAACTACTCGAATTCAAAGTAAATCTAGAACCTGACCAATTATCACCATCTCCATTACTACCTCCCTGATCTAAGCCACCAACATCTCTCACCTGGATTATTGCAATAGCTGCCTAACTGGCTTCCCTGATTCCACTCTTTTCCTCTATCTATAGGCTATTTTCAACACAACAGCCACAGAGATCCTGTTAAATCTGGGGAGCTTAAATGCTCCATGTGATCTGTGCCTCTGCCCCCACCTCTGACTTCATCTCTTGCTATTCTCCACCCCAGGCATTCTCAAGGCCTTTGCAGTGGCTGCTCTGTAACCCTGGAAGGCTCTGCCTCCAGGTGTCCCATGGTTACTCCCTCACCTCCTTCGGGGCTTCGCACAAATGTCCCCTCCTCACCAAGGTCTTCCCTGATTACCCTATTTAAAATTGCAGCTCATGAACCCCCTACCCACAGAACTTGGGACCCCCTTACTATCTTCTTCTTCTCTTCTCCATATCACCTTCAAAATGACGACACTATTTTTCAAATGTATTTTATCTACTGCTTGTTGTCTGTCCCCCCATGCTAAAACATAAGCTCCACAGGGACAGGGACTTTGTTTGGCTCACTGATGTATCCCCAAGTACCTAGATTGCCCTGCATATGGCCGGAGTTCAAGAATTAGTTGAATGAATTCTATAAAGGCAAGGCTATGCCTTAGAGGTGAGCCTTGCTTTAGGCAGAGCAAATATTTGTGAGACACTTAAATAAATGCATGCATTGGGGACCTCATTTCATTGGAGCAGGGGACAGGAGTGGAGTGGAGCGATGGCTTGGGGATAGATGATACTGGGCCTCTTTCCCTTCGAGGACCTCCTGTTTAACTTACTTTTCCCCCTAGTCCTAAGGAGGTTTAGTCTACCCTGGGGATATTTTGGGACAAAAGGAACCCAGGTTGTTTTGGCTACTTTAGGGTCAGGCTTGTGTAAAGGCAGAAGAATGGCTAAGATGACCTTCCAGCACTGCAGACTTCAGAGTGAAGATGCCAAGTGAGGGTACAAAAGAAAGGAGTAGATACAGGGACCTAATTAATTCATAAGCAGAGGAGGGTATTTGGGGTGGAATGCAGCACCCACCTCCTCCCCTTCTGTCCTTCCAGCTGTCACATTCAGCCAGTAGCTCTTGTCTTTGTGCCAGGAGCGGAGTCTCAAGAGCTGTAGCTGGGAGGGGAGAGAAGAGCTGAGCAGTGGGGTAGGGTAGCTTGTGCTTGCTGGCAGAGGGCCAGCCTGCATCCCTCACATCCTCTGACAATGGAGGCAGCTCAGCCCTGTTCCTGAAGGGTTGAAGACTCCCCTTTGGGGCAGTATGGGCTCTGCATTCCTTTGAGGCCCTGGTTTCCTGATTGATGTAGGTGGGTTGTTGCAGGGGCTTTGGATGGATTTGAGGTAGAGTGAAGAATTAGGGTTTATAGTCTGGATCTAGGATCTGGAAGAAGCTTGGAGTCAAAAGGAATATTTGGGCTTGCTTCTAAAACCAATGCAGGCAGGCAGGAAGTGCTCCGGCATCAGAAGATTAAGCTAGGAAGCTGTGAGAACTACACCTCCCAGCATGCAGTGCGGTGGGCCACAGTGAGAGTGGGAAGGCCTGAGGTCAAACTCTGGGAAGCCTTTCTCCTGCAGCTGCAGCAGCTGTGCATCTGTCAGACCATCAGACAGGGCCTTGTCAAGCTGGAGGAGAACCGAATCCTCCCAGGATGTGGGTGCAGCTGCCTTCTCAGACTCTTCAGCACATTACCATTTGCCAGTCTAGAGAAAGGCACATCTGTCCACCACACAGCCATGGGTTCCCATTTGCACACTCAGCATGCAGAGAGTCACTCGCCTGCCTGCCGGTGCACATTTACATGCTCAGAGACACACACCCACATTCATGCTCCAGCATGCACCCTTGTAGGCTCACACCCCTCCTGCCTTCTAGATGGGCCTTGAAACCCCTTGGTCTGAAGAACACCCAGCCTAATGGGCAGACCCTGTCACCTTTACCCACAAGTGGTCATCCCCAACGGATGAGCTTGGGACTTCACCAGAAATGGGAATTAGGACAGACACCCTACACCCAAGGGCCTCCCTGCCCTCTGCTGAGAGCGGCCTAGACACTCGCCTCCTGACAATCCCAGTCCCAGAAACACTGCTACTTAATTTCGCCTCGGTAGTCTGGTGAAAGCCATACCATGGGCGCCCCTCCACCTTCAGCATTACCCTCACAGGGAGAAGGGAGGGGAGCTCACTGAAATTGCTCCTCAGTAGGAGGGCCCCAGGCCCAATGGAAATTCTGGTGAATTTCTTTCCTCTGCTCTCTCATCTCAGGGGCCACAGCCCAGGCCTCTTGTTTCCCACGAGGGAACCCCTCACTGTAGAGCCCCTAACTGGCCCCCTGATGCCACACACAAAGAGTCCCAAATGCTCAGTCTAAATCAACCTGCCTTGCTACGCTGCTTCTCTGCTGAGAGCCCCTCAGAGTCTCCCTGTGGCCTACAGAGAGAAGGTCACACTCCTTCCGTTTTTTACCCACATGATTCCCCTGCCTGGGAACACCCACCCTCCATCATTGCCCACTCACTTATCCTTGTCGGAACAAATCAAATACCACCTTCTCCAAGATCCGGGACCTCAAGAAGCCTGTGCCAAAGTGTGTCTGTACAAGTGGTACAGTGGCCTGGGACATGCGTGCCCTGCACACTTGTGTGTCTCTGGCACAGTTCCTGCTGCACGCCTTGTCCTGCCCCAGCTGTTCTTCATTTCCCTCTCCACATGCACCCTATTACCTGAATGGATGGCCCGAATGAAAAATTAAATTTCCACTAATCTGTCTCACTCATGCATTCCTCCAGACCAGTGAGGTTTGGAGCACAGGGCATGGCTGTGCCCCTCAGAGTGGATCCCTAGAGAATGTGACAGGCACTAGCCAATATGGGGTGAAGGCTGGTGGGATTGACTACTGCTTGGAAATTGCCTATGAGCACAAGAACAAGCAGCTCTGAAAAGGCTCAGGCCACTTGGCTGAGTTCTCCTGAGGAGGCTGAGACCATCCCTCGGGATGGCCAGCTAAACAGCTCCTGGGCCCATCAATGATTCAGTGAGTGTCACGCTTCTATGCGTCCTGCCTGCCAACAACAAAGTGCCCTTATGCAGGGCCCATGTGTGCCTTTGGTTACCACCCGTGTCCTACTCTGTACCTCTAGCAAGCATAGCAGGGCACTCTGTGTGCCTTAGGTGGTCGCGGCCTACCTGCCCACAAGGCCGCCGAGGCCTGACCACCAACACCATGGAGGGCACTACTGCAGCAATCACCCCAAAGGAGATGGTCACCTCCACAGCCAGTCTCTCTTCCTTCCTTTCCTCTCTTCTCTGTAGCCAGGGCCTGGGTAGTGCCCCCTTGCCTTCCTGCTCCTAGACCTGGTGTGACAAGGTCCTAGTGAGCAGTCCTGCATTCACAGTTGTCCTACAACCTCCTCGGCTTTGGGAGAAGGGAGGCCTGAGCTTTCTGTCCCAGCCCTGCCTCTGAGTTGAGCAGTGCCACTTAGCCCCATAAGCCTGCAGGGACTCTGGCTGGTCCGTTCATGCTGGGGAGTAGGGCCAACAGGAAGACGCTGTTTCTGGGTTTCTTGGCCTCCTCCCCTGACTTCCCAATCACTGGTTTCCCTAGAGAACCTGGAAGGTGGAGGGGCATACAGTATGCAGTGGTGGCATAGGGGGAAGGTATCACTAGGTAGGGAGTACCGCTGTGTGCTAGGCAGTGGAATATGGATTTGGTGTGATCGAAAGAAGCCTGAGATAAGTATGCTCATCTCCATATTACAGACTGGGAAGCAGAGGCTCAGAGAGGTGAAGAACTTGCTTAAGGCCACATAGCCAGGAAGAGCCAGTATGTGAACATCTTCAAGCCAAGTTGTACTGTCTCTCACATGACAGGCCTCTCTGTGGGTTGGTCATGCTGTCTAATGACTACTCCTCACCCTTATCTGTCCCCACAGCCCCAGAGCCACAGCGCAGGCATCTATGAGGCTCTTACTGAGCTTTGCTCAAACCTTCTCCGGGAAGGGAGAAGTGTATGACTCTGGGGCCCTCCATTCCTTGCCAACCTTTGGGAACCTTAAACCCTAGCCTGGGGAAGGGGCTGCCTCAACTTTCTCCAGGCTCCACCTCTGACAATTCCTCTCCCTTAAGCTGTCTGAAGGCCAAGAGCAGGGAGTTGAAGAAAAGAGCGTGACAAGTGGCTGGACACTATCCCTACCCCAAAGGAGAGAGGCTGATAGAAATGCCCTGAGGACAGGTACGCACAGGCCCTGGACAGCTTCCGGCTGCCCTTCTGCAGTTGTGCCTTGAATGTACCCACAAATGAGGTCTCCCATTGCTGAGACAGGCTCAGAGCTGATGAATCCTCAGGGTTTACCCAAACCCTGCACCTGGAGCCCAGGAACCCTTACCTTCTTTACTGTCTCTGTGCCTGGCCCAGCTTCCTCAGGTTACTTCCTATGCACGACACGCACCCTCTGATGTTACTTCATGCCCATCTGAGCAGCAGAATGATGCCACTTTCTGTTCTAGGAGGTTCTTTCTGTCACTATCTCACCCTGCACCTAGCTTAGTACAATTTTAACGACATTTCCTCTTCCAGTTGTGAAGTTATGATGGCAGTTTACCCCTCTATTGGCTTGTTGTGGCCTTTTCATTAATAATGATAGAGGTCAAGATAATCATAGCGCATAGGCCATTTATTGGCAGATGGGTCTATGCTAAGTACTTGGCTCACATTATGTATAATTCTGACAACAACGCTTCAAGGTATCTTGTATTAGCTCCATTTTATATTGGGTTGTCGGTAGAGTCATGACGTATGTTTGCAACAGATGGCACTAGTTCATTTTTGGAAGTACTAGAGTTATTCACATCTATGTTATTTCTATGTCATTTGACAGCTGACAGTTCTATCTTCATTCTAAAAAAAAATTGAGCGATTTGGTTGAGTTTTGGAGATTTTACAAGTTGAAGATGGAAAACCAAACTGTGTATTTTTGCCATATTTTACTGTTTTACTTCCATAAAGGGAAGAACGCGCAACGAGCTTGTGACAAGTTGCATAAAGTTTACAGTGACAATGCTCTACAAGAACATCAGTGCCAGGGCTGGCTGAGTGGTGCGTTGGTTAAGAGTTGGCTTGGGACTCCAGCTCTGAGCAGCAGGGCCCTGGTTCGGATCCCACATGAGGGCCAGTGACGCTGTGCCCTCTACAGCTAAGATGGTGAACAACAGCTCAACCTGGAGCTGGGCTGCCATGAGTCCCCAGTGAGGGCGTAGGCTGCAGTGGGGCGGCAGTGAAGCTACCGTGAGTGGCTGGCAGCGAAGTGTGAGCTGCTGTGAGCTGCCATGAGCCGCCGTGAGCGGCCATCCGATGGCCGGCAAGCAACTACCTCAGCCGGGAAGAGTGCAATGATAATATCAACATGGGCCAGTGAAGCAACATCCTCCACAATTAGACTGAAGAACAAATGACAACAACTTGTCTGTTCCCCTTCCCTGATTCCCCAACGCTGCTCCCTCCCCCAATTCCCCAATAAAGTCTTTAAAAAAAAAAAAAGTCAGTGCTAACCATGGTTCATGAAATTCAATGCTGTGATTTTGATCTCAACAACGCTCCTCGGTCAGGGAGGCCCACTGAGGTTGATGATGATAAAATAAAGGCATTGATCGAGTCAAAACCATGTTACATGACACGAGAGATTGCAGAAACATTGAACATCTATCATTCAAGCATTCACGTCCACCTGAAGAAGCTGGGATATGTAAGCTAGCTCGATATTTGGGTTCCGCATGAACTCAAAGAAGTTCATTTGACTGCACGTATAAACACCTGCAATATGCTCATTAAACATGAGGAAAACTATCCTTTTTTGAAGCGACTGATAACTGGTGATGAGAAGTGAATTGTTTACAACAGTGTGTTGTGCAAACGGTCTTGGTCCCGACGTGATGATTTGCCTCAAACAACATGGAAAGGAGACATTCATCAGAGGAAGGTTATGCTCTCAGTGTGGTGGGATTTTTAAAGGTGTGTTTTTCGAGCTCCTACCAAGGAACCAAACAATCAATTCGAATGTGTACTGTTGGTAATTGGACAGTTTGAACGAATCCATCATCCAGAAATGTCCAGAGCTTGTTAATTGTAAAGGAGTTGTGTTCCATCACGACAAGGCGAGACCACACACAAGTTGGATCACCCGTCAAAAATGGTAGGAGCTTGGATGGGATGTGTTGCCACACCCACCATACTCGCCTGACCTTCATCAGACTTCCACTTGTTTCACTCTCTTCAAAACTCTTTGTGTGGTACAACGTTCAATTCAGATGAAGTTGTAAATCAGCACCTTGTTCAGTTTTTCGCAAATAAAGACAGGTCCTTCTATGAACAAGGAATTATGAAGCTCACTGAAAGATGGCAAAAGGTTGTCGGACAAAACGGGCAATATATCATTGCTTGATCTTTGTTCTTTATATAAATAGATGACCTTTGAAAAACATAGACAAAATACGTCATGACTTTTCCGACAACCCAATAGATGAGGGCTGGTCCAGAGTCCAGCCTGTCTGACATTAGAGCCCACGGGCCTTTCATGTACCATGTGAAGTCTCCCCCAGAACATCTTAGTCCACGTCCCTACATTGCCCTAAAAGGTCAGGTGGCTGAACCTCCTCATCTGCGTTGAGAGAAAAATGCAGGGAAAACAGCAATTCAGTGGCAGGGCACACAAACCACCCTGGCTTGGGCTATTTCCTTGCTTTTCTGCCAGTATCCCTGCTGAGGCAAGCCTTGCCCTCCAGCCCATATGGGTTTCCTGAACTGCTGGAACAGAGCTTGAAAGACATGAGCTCCACCTGCAAACCCATCCCTATCCCCACCACCAACAGCATTGCTATAAACAGCACTTACTTCCTCCCCCTGATTGGGGGTCACTGTGACTGTCTCACATACAGCCTTAAACAGAGGAAAGAGAAAGTCAAAGCTAGACCAATGGCCAGAGTTCAAGGGAGAACAAGAGAAGCAGGAAGAGAAGACACAAGCTTCCTGCAATGAAACAAGCCAAAGGTGGGGGACATCGGCAGTGGAACCCGCAGTGGGTGAGGAGAGGTAGGGAAGGGTGCAGCTTCCTACCTGTGATATTGACCTCCACCTGGCCTGAGCGAGTGCCAATGGGGTTGGTGGCTTCGCAGATGTAGGTCCCTGCCAGGCTATAGTTGATAGGTCCCCTGAAGAAGAGGGTTCTGTTCTGGGCCTCCACGCCCTTGGGGAGAGAGCCATTCAGCCTGCAGGGATCGGAAGTCGTGGCAGAGAGGATTATGATTCTCCAGCCCCAAGAGGCTGCCCCTGTGTCACCCACCTGGTTCCAAGCCCACCAGCCCTGCTATTGAGTTCATAGGTAGGATTTGTCTTGGAAAGAGTGAAAACAGTAACAATAATAATCTCTTGCAGTTGGCAGTTTTATATCATTCAGCATTTCACATTTGATCATCATAGCACCAAAATGTAGACAGGATAGGTAGATACAGGTCCCACTTAACAGATGAGGAACCTGAGGTTCAAGTCCAAGGAAACATAGCTAGTAATCGGCAGAACTGGAGCTCTAGCCAGATGTTTGGACTCCTAGCACAGTGCTCTAATACTCCTGGTTCCTGGTTGTTGGTCCTTGGTTTCCTGGGTAGCGGGTTAACAATACAGATGTTTGAGTTCTAACTCCAGATCTACCGAAGCTGGACCGCTGGGGCCATAGCCTGGGAATCTGTATTTTAACAATGAGATGCTCAGGTAATAAGATGTGATCCATGTTTTGGAATTGTGTTCCATTTCACCATCTTATGTTCTCACTGGGTATGTCACAGGACTTTTATATGTTGGGAGTGTCGTGGAAGTTTCCAGACTTCCAGGATGAAGGGGACCTTCACCCTTCCTCCTGATCCCCAATGCCACAAAGCTATTATTCTGTGGGACCTAGGAGGTCGTTGGTGCACAGCTGCAATTGGCAAGTAGGCCTTGTCTATTCACACTTTCATAAGCATTTTTGGTTCCAAGAAGTAGAGGGTAATAGCTAGGGTATCCAGTGCATTCTACTCGAAAAGAAGAGTGTAGACACAATCTGGAAAGGTGTCTTCTGGCCACCCATGTCAACCTTATTCTTGGCTTCCCTTACACCCCTTTATCTCTGCATGTTCCATGCAGCTCTTCTCTGGGAAGAACTGTGGCTCAAGCCATCTGTCTCCCCTCCAGTGCTGGCTAGAGGGGAGACAGGGCCCTTCAAGGGCCTGAAGCCAAGAATGGGAAGATGAGGCATGAGATGAGCCTGGACTGACTGCTGCCTCCTCCCTGAGAATCTGGGGTTGCTGGAGAGAAGGAATAGGAACAAAGAAAGATCTGGAATGCTCCAGAAAACCAGCTTCCCTGGGGATACTTTGATAAAAATAAAAACTGGGAGCTAGGGTGGCAGTGACTCAGACTGAATCACCAAAGGAAAATGACAAAATTATTAGGGAGAAAAAGAGAGGCAAATCACAAGGGGACCCCCCTCTGGCAGAATAGTTTGTCCCACTGACCCTGTCAAACATTCAAACATGGGGCTGTGTGGCTGTCTGTGTGTGTGTGTGTGTGTGTGTGTGTGTGTGTGTGTGTGTGTGTTTATGGGGGGTGGCGTGGTGGGTTGTCTCTCATGGCCTCTCCCCATTTCTCTGAGAAACCTGAGCCTAGACCCTAATTTCCTCCCTGCCTAAGGCTCCTGGAGGTAGGGTGAGTGGGCCTCCCTGTGACTAGCAAGGTACCTTGCAAGGCAACCAGCCAGCCCCACAGCACTTACGTGGTCCAGTGGTACTCGGTGGCTGGGGGATTAGCGTCAGCTTTGCACGTGAGCTTTACATCCATCCGCTGCAGGTACCAATTCCCATCAAACCCCTCGATGGTCACCTCGGGCTCGTCTGATGTTTCAAAAGGGTGAGGTCAGGAGAGCAGGACTTGGGGCAAGGGAACCTCAGACAGTGAAGGGGTGGAAGTGGCAGTGACATGGAAACAACCAGAAGAGGGGGAAGAGTGCGAGGGAGGGTGAAGGTCATGGACTCTCAGCACAGAAGCAGCAAGGGAAACAAGGAAGGTGGAGAGAAAGGATGAGCAATGTGAGGTAAAGGGAAGACAGGAGGGAACGACAAAGTACCCCCAGAAAGAGAAAGGGAAGAGGAAGAAAAAGAGGGGAGGAAGAAGGATAGCGGGAAGAAAGGGATTGGGGAGAATGGCAGGAGATGAGAAGAAAAGGAGAAGGAAAGGCTGGCAAGGGTGGGGGCAGTGGGAAGGGACAGTGGTGCCCATCCAAGGAGGCCCGCCACCTGCACCTTCCCCCACTCACACTGCACACTGACGGTGATACTTTCCCGGAAGCGGTCCATATGGTAGTTGACTATGCAGGCCAGGGACTGCTGGTGGGCTTCCCGGCTGGGCACCAGGCGGTAGCGGCTGATGACAGTCACTGTGCCATTGGGGTTCCGGATCTCCTGGAACTCCGCCTCACCCTTCAGTCGTGTTTCCCAGGATACCACACTGGGTGGCTTCCCATTGGCAGAGGTGCAGGTGGCCACCAGGACCTTATCATCGTGTCCCTTCTTGGCTCGAAGCACTGCCTGGGTGCCTTCTATCCAGTTGGTGGGTTTGGCTGTGGGGAACCAGAGAGAGCCATAGGACCAGCTCTACTTCCTGGTCAAAGATGCACAGGCCCAGGAGGGTATGCACCTGCCAGGCCCTTGCTTCAGGTCACCCTGCCCATCCTTGCCTCTCAGTGGTACTTCGCCAAAGCCCCTCCAGGCACTTCTCCCAGGGATGTCTTCATGTCTAACCTCTGCCTTTCCTGTTCTATTATTTGTATCCCCTTTTGTCAAGCGCAGGCCTTCTCAGAGTCTTGTCATGATCAAGGCAAACAGCTCAAGCAGCCCTTTTCCTTACCATGGTGTCTGATGCTTCTGCCTGTCTCCTGGCCACCCATAAAGTGCCCCATAGTGGGGCTCCAACCTGAATACTGATACTCAGCTCTGTCTATAGCTAAGGCCCTCCCCCAGTGCTTCGTGAACTATGAGACAGCCTGGCTAGAAGGGACTGGGAGTGCCATGCTTGGAGCTTTGGGAACATGCCAACCCAAGGAGAATGTCTGGGGCCATTGAGGCGCACACTGAGGATGGCCAAGTCCCCAGCCCACAGTCCTCTGCATAAGAAAGGGAGGGGTTGGGCCAGCTTACCCATCACAGTGAGATTGAGCTGGCTCTCTCGATTGCCAGCAGGGAAGGTGGCAAACTCACAGATGTAGACACCCTCATCTTCCAGCTCCAGATGGGAGAGGCGGATGGTACCATCCGTGAAAGAGGGCTGAAGGAATTCCACGCGCTCTCTGTAGGGAGCCAGCACCGAGACACCCATGGCTGGGTTGTAGATGGCCACATTCTGCTTGGAGCCATTGGTGGACTTCTGCCATGTGACCTGGGTGATCTTCACGCCAGGCAGTGGGTTGGCGAAATTGCAGTGCAGCACCACATCCGTGCCGATGAAACCATACATGGAGTCGTTCACCTGGACCACCTGTGTGTGGGTACCTGGTCAAGGGAGACAGCAAGGAGGAGTCAGCGACAGACACAAGCCTCCACCCAAACTCCCTGTGAACTGGTCTTGTCTTTTCTAGCAGTCATTATTCTTTTTATTCTGATTTTAAAAAGAATAATTGCTTGTTATAAAAACACTCTGAGCAATACTGAAAAATACTGAGAAGAAAATGATAATCCATGATCCCACCACTCAGAAATATCACCGAGAATCTTGTAGGAAATATCCTTTTACTTTTTTCTCTATACCTACATAACATCTATTTAATTATTATTTTTTTACAAAATCAGGACCATACTGGGCTGGCCAAGTGGCGCATTGGTTAAGAGCTGGCTTGGGGGCTGGCCGAGTGGTGCGATGGTTAAGAACTGGCTTGGGATGCCAGAGGGCCCCGGTTCGGATCCCACATATGAGGGCCAGTGACACTGCCCTCTACAGCTAAGATGCTGAACAACAGCTCAACCTGGAGCTGGGCTGCCGTGAGTCGCTGGCGACGGCGTAGGCTGCAGTCCCTGTGGCAGTGGGTTGCCATGGGCTACCGTGTGTAGCCAGCAGCCAGTGTGAGCGGCCAGCAGCCAGCGTGAGCGGCCAGCAGCCGCAGTGAGCGGCCGTCCAGAAGCTGGCGACTGATCTGCCTCGCCTGGGAAGAGCGCAATGATGGTGCCAACTTGGGCCAGTGAAGCAACGTCCTCCACAACTAGACTGAAGAACAAAACGACAGCAACTTGTCTGTTCCCCTTCCCCCAATTCCCCAGCATTGTTCCCATCCCCCCAATTCCCCAATAAAAATCTTTAAAAAAAAAAAAAAAAGGACAGCAGCTTGTCTGTTTCCCTTCCCCGATTCCCCAACGCTGTTCCCATCCCCCAATTCCCCAACAAAAATCTTAGGAAAAAAAAAAAATCAGAACCATACTGTACATATTGTTCAACAAGCTGCCTTTCACCTAGTGATATATTATCAATATTGCTCCATGGCAGTAAATATGCATCCGCATCCTCATTCTTGATGAGGACAGTTGAATGCACTGCTTTTTGAGTAGAGCCCCAGCCAAGGAGCCACCCAGCTGCTTTACCTTCCTGGGCCTCTGTTCGCTCTTCTGACAAATGAGGCAGATAATCCAGTGGTCTCTAACAGGGTTGCTAGGAAAACCAAATGGTATGATAGATGTGAAAGTGTGTCAGGAGGCAGGAAGTGCTGGGGGAGCTCAAGGGCCCATAGTGGCTGTCACTGTGGCTATCCCCGCTGTCTTCTCCCGCACGGCTGAGTCCCGTGCCCTGAGGTGCACTGGCTTGGCCCCTCTTAGCCAGTGGGCCAGAAAGAAGTAGCTGCTACACAAAGCTCAGCCTCCTCTAGCTGCCAGTAGCCTTCATAATCAGGTCTAAATGCCTTCACTTGGCATTTGACGTCCTCAGCATCTGGGCCCTGCCTGTTTGTCCACATCTCTCCATACACCATGCCTTCCAACCAAGTCTGACTGGGCCCCTCCTCAGAACATGCCATGTCTCCATATTTCCCTCCTGCCCTCCCTCCTCCCATTTATTCAACCACCATTTGCTGAGTCCATTTATCAGCCCTTGAATCTTATCAAGGAGCCATTCTGTCCCAGCCCCCAAGGAGCACAGAGCCTCTCTTTACAACACTTTCAGACTGTTGCTCATGCAGTTCCCTAGAAGGCCTTTCCCTTTCTCCACCTGTGGATAATCTACTCAGGCTACCACCTGCTAGAAGCTTCCCAGAGCCTCCCATCTGTGTTAACCCAGTCACCTAGATTAAAGCTCTTTTCTGACTTGGAATGTGGTTGTTCACATCTCTGACTCCTCCACCAGACTGAACTTGCCCAGAGCAGGGTCTTTGTCTTTAACGTAACTGTATCCCCAGTGCCCAGCCCAGCATCTAGCACACAATAGGTGTTCAGTAAATATTTGTTTCAAAACTATTTACAAATCAAGATGGAAGCAGTGAGAGTGGAGATTTAAAAAAAGGAGGGAATGACCAGTGAAATCGAATGATTAAATTTCCTCTAGTTTCCCTGTCAGTTGTTTTCTCCCCTCTAGAATGCTTTTTGTTTGAGCTTCCTTGACCCCTGAATTTGGCTCAGCCTCCTTAACTTGGGGCAGCCATCTCCTCCAGTGGGTGCCTTGAGCTCTCTCTGGTCCGAGCTCATTCCTGAGCTGTGTCATTCACCATGCATTTATTCGTACATATCATGTCCTTGTATCCTTACTTCACTCAATCGGTTTATTGAGTGCCATCAGTGATAGCAATGCCAGGCTCTGTACTGATCCAGAGGCAGAGGGATGGCTCAAATGGCTCCCCAAGGGAGTCTGAGGTTCAAGGGTAGGAACTTGGGGCTCACACTTGCCTCTGCGTGGTGGAGACATGGGAGCAGAACACAGTCCTCTGAGAGCTCCAAAGCCCATGATCAGTGAAGCTGGCTGTCCTCCACTCCTCCCCTCAGGAGGGTACAGGCTAGGTCTCTCTAGATCACTGCGGTATCCCCTGTGCTTAAAACACAGTAGGTACTTAAGAAATGCTTGCTCAAGAAATATCTCTGTGGTCCTTCCAAGCCAGGCCCTTGCCATGCTCTGAAAGCTTCTCTGATGCTCCCTTCTCTATGCCTACTCACATCCACACAGCCCTTAAGGCCCACCTGGGGTATGCATACCCCCACTCCTCCAGGTGTCCCCTTGGCTGGTCTGTGGGCTTCTGACATTTCCTTGCATAAGTGCACTGTGGGCTGGTGGGAGTCTGAGGGAGGGTCACCCATTAGGAAGTGAGGAGGGCAGGGTTCTAGCCGCTCCCTCTTGAGCTTGCCTGGGAACTTTAGCAAGGACCTTCCCGCTCTGAGCCCTATTTTCCTCCATGAGGGGACAGGCTGGACTCCGGCTCTAACTGTCTGATTCTTTGAATTGCAGCCCAGCCCAGCTGTGGCCCCACCCCAGATACAGTTCCATGGTGAGGTCAGTGGGCCAGACAGCCCAGTATTCTAGCTGACTAGATAGGTGACCAGCAGTTAAGCCCTAGGCCCTCCCAGCAGAATAAGTGGGTGCTCCCTGACCCCCGCCTCTACTCACCAAGCCTGCCCAGCATCTGAGATACTATGGGTATATACATGGGGAACTTTCACTACACAAAGCCAGGAACAGGAAAAGCCAGTTGGGAGGGCTTGGGGCATGTGCACGCGTTTGGAGATGGGGGAGGGTGTGGGCACCAGAAGCCATCTTGGGATTGGTGTCAGGGCACGGTGGGGCCTGTAGTGGAGCAAGGCCACCCAGTCTTCTGTGACCTCATCTCCTCTCATCTCCCCAAAGGTAGGGGGACAGGCAGGGTTCAGTGCCTGGCGCACACACTGACATTCATTTGTGGCATCTTCAGCAGTAATCTCAGCCTTCAGAGCTGTGAGTGCCAGGTGGGGAGATCGCTGAGAGCAGGTGTCGGGTGGGGGAGCACTGTAAGGAGCTCAGGCACCCCGGATATTGCCTCTTAGCCATTAATGCTCACCAGGCACAGGTGGTCCTCCCTACCCCCATGTCTGTTTTAGGGTGAAGCTGCTCCCTTCTCTCTGGGTGGCTCTCTCAGAGGCAACCCCATGGCATGGGGCAGTGAGGAAAGTGCCTGATGGGCCTGCTCAACACATACAAAGCGGGTTCTCCTGGCCCTTGTCCCCTTTGCCCAGTGATGGGGTGGGGTGGGGTGGGGTGGGTGGGAGGACTCAAAGGAGCAGCCAGATTCATTTTGATGTTAGCTTCTGTGCCTACAGTCCACTGTTAGTAGGGATGGGGAGGTGGCCCTGGGGGTAGGCATAAGAAAGCTCTTGGAATATGGGGTTTGGGGTCATTAAGGGTGGAGATCCAGAGTTCTGGAACTGGGAGCAGCTGGAAAGACTGGCAAGATCTGAAGACCCTCCCTTTCTTCCCCGACCCCACTCCAGGCTTAGAAACCCAGAACCCAAGCTTCTGGCTTAAGGCTGTGTGTCTTGGTCTGAAGATGCAGGGTCAGGGAGAATGTCCTTCGTTCTTTACATTGGGCAGATTGGGAAGCTTTCAGAGAGGAGGGGCAGATCCCTGGTGACTCTGACAGCCAGGGTCTGAATGCTAGTCAACGGGGGAACAGGGCTCACCACTGAAAAGGAAGAGAAAAGGCTGATGGGGGCAGGAACCCAGGAACGGGGCCCTCCTCTGCGCAGAACGAGGTGGGTTCCCAGCCTCATCTGGAAGCCTGAAATTGAGGGAGGCCCCTTGGAGACTGTACAGCCTCTCTCCATGGTGGTCCAAGCCTCTCCACCAGCCACTCTGGCCCTGATAACTTGAAAACTGATGCTTGTGTCTCCCCTGCCCAAGATCCCCCTACCCTCTGAAGGGCTGTTCCATCACCATCTCCTTCAGGCAGTATGGTGAGGTTGTGAAGAGCCAAACGGTGTGGGTTTGCATTCTCCCTCTGCCACTTTTGAGCTGTTAAACCTTGGGCAAGTGACTTAACCTCTCTGTGCCTCACCTTACACTAAGGTTGTACATCTATAAAATGGGAATTATAATAATACATACCCCATAAAATTGTTGTAAGGATTAAACGAGTGAGTACATGTGAAACTTAGAGAAGCAGCATTTAGCACAAATTATATGCTCAATAAATGTTAGTTGATGTCATCATCATCACTACCACTACCATTGTCATCATCACCATCACAACTATCATCTCCACTATCATCATCATCACCACCATCATCATCATAATCATCTCTCATCTATGAAACTGTAAGCTTCCCTTCCTGGACTTCACTCAACAAATATTTATTGAGCACCTAACTAGTACTGGGTGTTCCTAGGCCCCCTCTTCCAGGAAGCCCTTCTGACTCTCATCCCTTCCTACTTATCTGACATCTATATTTATACCTCAACCACATATAATATGTGCCCCATTATTTTTTGTTTTCTGGCATGTGTATCTAGCGTGTTTCCTGTTGTGTGTTCCCCTGTCTCCCAACAGACTGCA